CCGGTGCTGGCGCAGCCACCCCTGCCGCTGCCTGGGAGGCGCCCAGGACGGGCTGCCCATGCCAAGGCGTGGCCCGTGGTCATTCTTGCGGCTAGGTCTGCTGGTCCTGTGGCTGCCACAAAGCCACTTCACGTCCCTCCCCTTCCCTCGGGCAGTCCTGGACAGCGGCCTTCCCCCAGTGCCCATGCGGGGCGTTTGGGAAACCCCTGGTGCTGGTGCAGGGCTGTTCTCCCCTGCAGGGTCTGCACGATGACTCCTGTGCTCACCTGATCCCATTCAAGTTGAGCATCAGCCTGTCACCTTGGGTGTAGAACTGAGACTCCGAGCTGGCTTCCTGCAGTGAGAGAAGCCCAGGCCCGTGCTCTTTGGCGAAAGTGTGGGGTGTGGGGACAGGGTCACAAGGAGGCTCTGGCCAAGCAGCCCTGTCCGAGCATCCCGGCTCTGTGACCTGGGGAGAGGTCTGGCCCGGGGCTCACTTGGCTCGTCTGTCAGAGGGGACAGCCCTTGTGCCGCCCCACTGCACAGATGCCAGGGTGCCCTGCTGCAGGGAGTGGTGACGGGGACGGCAAGGAAGCCAGTGTGCACAGAGCCCACACCGCAGGCTGTGTGTGTTGTCAGAGCTTTCCACGATGCTCTCCGTGGATCTCCCCACCCCGTGAAGGGCTCCTGTCACCACCCCGTTGTGGAGGTGAGGAGAGGCAGGCCAGAGGACTCGGAGGCCTGGGTGGGCGTCAGCCATTGTGATCACTGTCAGACAGGTAGGACCCAGGCGATGCACAGCTTGACCTCTGGGCTGGGGTGACCCTGAGGGCAGCTGCACCCAGGGAGCAAACTTGTTTGGAAGGTCTGGGCATGGTGGCTGTAGCACCCGCCATTGACCGTAGAGGGGCCAGGCTCCCATGGAGTGAGGCTGACCGAGCAGCCCTTTCCTGCTGCTGGGGACGGGTGGTGCTTGGGATTTCTGCCGGTCCAGGAAAGAGGGCGCCATGGTCCTGGGGTCTGTGAGAAAGGTCCTGATGCTGTGTGTGGACAGCCGCACACCTCTGCGGGCACTGTGTCCCGTTCCATTTTTCTGGCCCCACCAGGTGAGCTCAGGCACTGGCACAGGACGCGAGCTCACCCAGCGAGGTGAGCCCCGGGCTGGAGCTGCGGGGGGAAGGGCTGTTCCTCCTGGGACTGTGCCTGGTGCCGTGGCGGGGAGGGGTGCGCGAGGGCTGGTGGGTTTCGAGCCTGCTACCGTGGCAGGGGGAGCCCACCACGGCACACCCGGAAGCGAGGTTGCCAGATTGGAAGGGAAGGATGGGGGTGGCACTGAGCACCTGGATCAAGATGTTTCTGAAGCCAGAGCCTCTGGGCCCTTTTGATCCATGAGCTAAGGCCTGTAGGCCTGTGGGCTGAGTGTCCGCCCAGAGAGCCCTGGAGCCACAGGGTGGAAGCAGGGCCCCGAGCTCCCCTGCCACAACAGTGGTGGAGACGACGCTTGGATGAGAGGGTGGGCGGAGGGTCCCGCCGCCCGTGCCGCAGCCACACTCACGATGCCCAGTGTGAACAGGGGGCGGGAGGCTTTGTCGGTGGGAAATATTTCCAGCACGACCAGTTGGGCCACCTTGGCCCTGCCTTGGCTCAGAAGCAGCTCAGGGGTCTCCTGGGTGGCAATCTTCACGAGCTGGGAGGGCGCCAGCTCGTCCGCAGCCTGGAAGGACATCGGAACCCGCGTCACCGCCCAGGAGCCTCCCCACGGGGGCCCGGTCCCCGCCCTGCCCCCAGCTCTGCCCCCTGCTGTCCCCCTCTGGCCCGGCCACTCCGTCCTGCAGAGCGTCCTCCCCCCGGCAGCCTGGGCCTTCTGCTCCCCTGTCTGGGATGCCCTTCCCTCCAGGGAAGCCTCCCTGAGGCTCCAGACTGTCAGGTGCTCGCAATGTGCTCTCAGCCCTGGGGCCAGTGCTTTGGGACTGCACCTCAGCGAGAATGCCACCCGGGCGAGTATCTGACTCGGTCAAACGGGCCTGCCAGCCTGGGACCGTGTGAGGAGTGGGCCTGCCTCAGTCCCGCGCGGGCGGACGGGCAGTCCCACATCGAGTCTGCTCCCTGTTGTGGGCACCCAGCCCACAGCAAGCTGCCTAACGCCGCCGGGGGCAGACGGACCAACCTTCTCCTGGATCCCCTTGAGGCTCAACTTCAGCAAACGGGCCAGCTCGGGCAGCTGAGGGCAAGAGGATGAGGCCAGAGGAGGTCAGCAGGGGGGCTGCAGGGCCGTCTCCTGCTCCCAACTGCGGGATGAAGGTTCTCCAGGACCCAGGAAAGCCGGTGGGCCTGGTGCTACAGTCAAATCGTGGCGCTTATCTGCTGCTCCACGTTGACAAGGATTCCGAGGTTGTGCGGCACCCAGACTCGCAGGGAGAGGCCCTGATCCACTAGTGATGCCTGCCGCAGGTCTCCTAGTGGTGGGCAACGGCACGCGCGCCATCCCGGCACTGCTCCGGATCTAAGATATTTATCATCCCTGGACTGCTCGGGACCTAAGACGCCCCTGGCTCCCCCAGACTGACTGGGAAGAGGGAAGAGGGCAGAACTAGGGCTGGGGCTGGATGTTGCTGGGAGGATCTCGGCTTTGGAGTCAGAGGCACGGTGTGTTAGGGGAGAGACCGGGCTCTTTGTTACTGGAGAGACTTCACTCGAACCTGGCGGGGGATCCTTGCTTCAGAGCCCTGGGGCCCCTTTGGGTCCAGAAAATTCCCATGATCCAGCACAAGCGGCCCCATCCTCTGTCCATGCCAAGGCTTACCACGTAGTCCAACAAGACTGTGAATTCTTCTGGAGGGAGCATGGCAGCCACCGCAGCATTTACCACATCCTGCCTCACAGTGAGGCTGAATGGGGCACTGTCCAGGGGGGGCTTCGTCAGGAAAGCTGAAGAGTTATTGAACCACTTGGTCACCTTTCCCTGTGAGTCCACCAGCTTGGCCTAAGGAGAGGCAGAGCAGGGAGTAGACTGAGAATTTTAACTCTGCACCTTCCCAGTAACAACCGAGGAGGAGATGACACCATTCAGCCTGTTTCCCTTTTTTGCACTTGTTGCCAGGAAGCTCAGCCGAGAGTTCAGGTGCCTGCTCCACCCACGACCCTCAGAAAATCTCTGATTTTTGTTTTTAATCTAGGTATCTTATTTTTAAACTTATGCTTCAACTTCTTAGATACCTCAGACCCTTTGGATGAAAGAAAAATTCAAAACCGCAGCAAAGTGGATGAAATGTTTCGATGCTGCAGTTTTCCAAGGGGCCCTGGGATTCATGCCGCTAGCGGGTCTGGCTTCTCAGGGTCCAGCTCCGGCAGGGGTGTGCGGCTTCACATTTTCTACACAGCTGCAGGTCTGGCACTCCGCACCAGCCAGGCACTGTGAGGTCTCCTTTCGTCGCCTCAGTGACCATTGTTATTTACATTTTGCAGGTCACGAAACGGAAGCACCGAGAGGTGAAGGCACTGCCCGGAGTCACACCGCCAGGGAGCTGTGGAGCTGGGAGCGGGACTGGGGCCTGTGTGGTTCTCGGTGACACGTGTCGTCTCGGGCTCTGGCGTCAGGGTCCCCGGAGGCCGGGCCGAGGGAGGGGCCGAGGCCCCGGTTCCCAGCCTCGGGGGGCGGGCGGGCAGGTCGAGGCGGCGTCCTGGGCGG